CCCTCTCCCGTCTCTGCCTGCATCCCCTCTCCCGTCTCTGCCTGCATCCCCTCTCCCGGTGGTCCGGCCACCAGCTGTCTTTTCCTTCCGTCTTCTCTCCCTGTCGTAGCCTGTGTGCTTCTCTACTCCTGGCACAGGGGACCCTCCTGGCTGCAGTATCTACCGTCTCTCCCGCTCCTCCCCTCCATCCCCTGCCAGGCCAGGCCTCTTCCGGCTGGGGCAGGGGATTGGGGTCTCTGCAGCCCCCTCCTCCTGCCTGTCTGATCCCCGATCTGTTTCCTCCTACTGTGACTCCAGGTTTATTCCTGGGAGCTCTGGTTCTGAGCAGGGCCTTGCATGGGATTGGAGTCCTGGGCAGAGGTCCCTGGTACTCAGAGTGAAGCCGGGTCTCACAGTGGTCCTAGCTAGCGGTGCCCCAGACCTGGACATTAAGGAGAAGGGAACTCACAGGAAACATGGGGGTGGATGGCAGAGCAGAACCTGAAGCCATCCTGGAGGAGGTGATTGGGTGGAGATGAAATGGGCAGTCAGATAAGAGGCCAGGACCGGGCGTGGTGGCTCATGCCTGTAATCCCAGCACTTTGGGAGGCCAAGGTTGGGGATTGCTTCAACCCAGGAGTTTGAGACTAGCCTGGGCAACATAGCGAGACCCCATTTCTGTTAAAAAAAAAAAAAAATGAAGAGGCCAGTACGGGAAGGCATGGCAGAAGCTGTTCCTTGTCTGCCCCGAGGTGTGCACACAGGGAGAGAGGGCCTCTTGAGCCACATCAGGGGATTCCTGTGGGTGCCCCTGTCCTTGTGCCCTTGGCCTCTGGTCACTCAGCTGATCACTTCTGGTTTCCTTTATTTCTCTAGGGTTTTTGCACCAAAATGCGCCTCCTGTGCCCGTCCTATCCTCCCTGCACAGGTAGGAGCCACTCACCCAGAGATGATCAGGTGCCTGGCCCAGCCGGCTGCTGCCCTGTCCAGCCTGGGTCTAGCCCAGGTCTTGGGCCACAGTGGGAGGGATGAGCAGGTGCTTCTCTGCAGGTCCTTCAGGACTGAGGGGTGTGTGTCGTGCTTGTGCACGTAGGGTACAGCTGTCTCCTGGCATGAGGTGGAGGAAAGTGGTGGGCTCTGCTGCTTGGCTGCCCCACTGCCAGCCCTGCTCCACTCTCCATTGACGGAAGGGCTGTTCCCTGGGTCTTCTCAGCTCTGCAGGCTGAGGTGGGGTGCTGGGGGGGCAGATGAGAGATGGACGTGGTCTGTGTGGGAGCCCCCCGTGGGTGCTGCAGCTCTTCTGGCCTGGGGTCTTCCCACAGTGCTGGCTCTGTCCCAGGCTGGTGTGCCCGGTGGAGCAGAACTGGCAGTGCCCTTTCAAGACTTCAAGGAAGTGAAAACAGGCCAGACACAGGGGCCCACGCCTGTAATCCAGCACTTTGGGAGGGCGAGGTGGGATGATTGCTTGAAGCCAGGAGTTTGAGACCAGCCTGGGCCACCTAGTGAGACCCCATCTTTACAAAGAAATAAAAAATTAGCTGGGTGTGGTTGTGCGTGCCTGTAGTCCCAGCCACTTGGGAGGCTAAGGCAGGAGGATTGCTTGAGCCCAGGAGTTTGAGGCCGCAGTGAGCCATGATTGCACCACTGCACTCCAGCATGGGCAACAGAGAGAGACTCTGTCTGAAAAAAAAAAAAAAAAAAAGATGACTGGGCGCAGTGGCTCACGCCTGTAATCCCAGCATTTTGGGAGGCTGAGATGGGTGGATCACGAGGTCAGGAGATCGAGATCATCCTGGCTAACACGGTGAAACCTCGTCTCTACTAAAAATACAAAAAATTAGCTGGGTGTGGTGATGGGTGCCTGTAGTCCCAGCTACTCGGGAGGCTGAGGCAGGAGAATGGCGTGAACCTGGGAGGTAGAACTGGCAGTGAGCTGAGATCGTGCCACTGCACTCTAGCCTGGGCAACAAAGCAAGACTGTCTCAAAAAAAAAGAAAAAAGAAAAAAAGAAGCAATGAGGTGAAAATAATGTCCACATCCATTGACACCCACATGACCCTCTTGTGGGCCTTTGTGTGTGCTGCGGGCTGTGGCCGCAGAGGATGCCTGAGGCCCATGTGTGTCTGTGTGTATGCACCTGCTGGTGCCTGTCCCGCCCCACAGAAGCATCGTGGCTGTGCTCCCTGGGGCGGGCATGCACCTCAGCCAGGACAGGAGCGTGGTGTGTGGGAGTGTACACTCCCGCACTTTTCCTCCAGTCCCTGCATGCTCATCATGTGTGAACTCCGTCTCTTCCTCCAGGGCTGTGAGACAACCATCCGTGTGGTGTCCATGGACAGAGACTACCACGTGGCATGTTACCACTGTGAGGTGAGCCTGGGCCCCCAGGAGGCTGGCAGCTGGGGTGGGCCTCCTTCCACGCGGCTCTCCTCTCCGGGTGTTCTGTGGGCTCACCTTATCAAAATTCTGGTTTTGCCGGGTGTGGTGGTTCACACCTATAATCCCAGCACTTTGGGAGGCCAAGGTGGGCGGATCACCTGAGATCAGGAGTTTGAGACCAGCCTGGCCAACATGGTGAAACCCTGTCTCGGCCGGGCGCGGTGGCTCACGCCTGTAATCCCAGCACTTTGGGA